TTAGTAAAATAAATTAAAAAAAGCCATTTACGTGGGCCTCGCAAGGTCGCGTGTGACTTCGGTTTACCGAGAATCGAGGGGGGGGATGTGTAGATCATTTAGGCACGATGTCATGCGGGACATTTATCGAGTATTTCGGAGCTTCGAACATTTAATTAGAAAAGCTCGAGTTGAGGGTGCATATTCGTAAAATAAATGAAAAAAAGTCGTTTACGTGGGTCCCGCAAGGTCGCGTGTGACTTTGGTTTACCTAGAATCAAGTTGGGATGTGTAGATCATTCAGGCACGATGTCATGCGGGACATTTATCGATTATTTCGAAGCTCCGAGCATTTAATTAGAGAAGCTCGAGTTGAGGGTGCATATAAGTAAAATAAATGAAAAAAAAAGCCGCTTACGTGGCTCCCGCAAGGTCGCGTGTGACTTTGGTTTACCGAAAATCGAGTTGGTATGTGTAGATCATTCAGGCACAATATCATGTGGGACATTTATCGAGTATTTCGGAGCTCCGAACATTTAAATAGAGAAGCTCGAGTTGATAGTGCATATTAGTAAAATAAATGAAAAAAAAGACATACACCAACGAACATTGCTCGCAATCATAAAATTTAACATAAACATAATAACAAAGATAAACATTGCATAACAATTTAAATTATAGCACGCTAAAAACTCCAAACAACATAGAAATTCATTTGAGACCTAGTTCTTCTTTAAGCACAGCAAGAAGTCCCTGGTGGGCTTACAATTCTTCTTCTGTCATGGTTGAAGTATCCTCCTTTAGCATTTCTCTGTACGTCTTCCATGACTCTATACGAACTAGCTTTTCCGAATCCTTTTGTTTCTTTAAATAAATTTCTTTAACCTCACCAATCTCAGCCAACAGACGTCCAACATCTAGACCGGTGCTCCCTCCTGCAGTTGTTTTTCCCTTTCTCTTCCCTGACTTTGCTGCTTTTTGGCCAATTGGTCGACACACGTACCTGTCCTCAACATCACCACTAGGCTTAACATCTTGCCCAGAGCCAGAAGTGTGATCTCCAGTATCAATTATTTTAGCTTTCTTTCCACCTCGAGATGTGTGAGATGCTCCATCGAATTTGGCATTATCTTTCAAAACTTCCCAACAATGAAGCCATTTAAACCCTCATTTCTTTTTTCCCTCGCTATTCCACTCCATTAATGCATTCTGCAAAACAATTGCATCATTTTTATCACTTTTTTGATCAGCCCAAAACCTGTTTATCGATGCATCAAATTTGATACAATCTCTATGGAAAACATAAAAATGCGATTTTGCTGACTCCATAGTTCTTTGAATGAGGTTTCGTACTTGACCGGCTGATATGGGATATTATATACGCAAGGCTAAACCGGTCTGCCCAGCCAAATGAAAAGACCAAACCAAGAGGAAGCCAAGCTCAAAGGCAGGAGGATTGATCATTTATATAATCGACCAGGCAGATAGTCGACCAAATCCAACGCTCGACCAAATAAGTGATCGAGCAACCTCTTCGACCTCATCAGGTCGATTACTTCGAGGACCTAACAGTCGGCCTAGTCACAGGCGCGTGTAGGAACCTCTAACCGAATCTCAGGAGAATATTTACCCCATGTACAGGGGGACACGTGTCGAGAATACATTGGTGGACATCGATAACCACCTCTGACAGCTCCCTAACGCCCCCGCGCAACCTCTGACATGCGCGCGGTGTGTCAGAGTATGGACGGGCAGCTTGGGCAGCCAGCTCATCTTATTCGGGTAGCTATTAGGGCAGGTATCTCACCCCTATATAAAGGGGGTGAGCCTTTCTCCCTTAACACATTCTATTCATTCTTCACTTCAGTATACTCATACACATACTGACTTAAGCATCGGAGGCTCTTCACCGGACACAACCCCCGGTGTGAGAGTTATTTGCAGGTTTCCGGCGTTCTACCGGCGAGGAATAGAATTGATCTACCCCAACCGGACCAGGACGCTCACACTTGCATTATTGGCGCCGACTGTGGGGAATTTTCGTTAAAAAGTTGTGTTTGAAGCTCAGCTATGGCGGACGGAATTCCCAAAAATTTGCAGTCAATGTTCGACGAAGCTTGGATGACGACCATGCCGTTGGGGCACGGCCCTCCTCCGGGTTTTTCCGGCCCATCGCAGACACCGATCACTCCCACACTTATTTTTCAAGGTGTGGGAGTGACGGCGGCGATCCCCGGAGAAGATGTTGGCGCTAGTCGGGCCCAGGAGGCTCGTGCAGCAGCCGCGGCGGCGATGCCACCGCTGCCGCCACCGAATCCGACACTGGTACAAGGAGGAGCGATGGAGCAGGGAGGAGCGCCACTACAGGCAGTCGTACAAGCTCCCGGTTAACAAATGGTGACGATGACCCGGGAGGAAATGCAGAGGATAGCGGCGGTCGCGGCGGCGCAGGCGGTGTAGCAAGTCACAAGCCACATCTCTCATGCCACCACTGCACCGACCACGGTGGCCGGAAACCAAGATGATGATGTGTATAGTTATGGAGAAGGAGGAGTTGGAAGAGATCAGGCGATGGAGAGGATGGCGGAGCAGTTGCGCCAGTTGCAGGACAAGGTGGAGGGGAGGCCGTAGAGAAGAGCTCGAGGACATCCCTTTTCAAGGGAGATTCTCGCTGCTCCTTTGCCGAATAATTTCAAGGAGACCAACTTGGTGAATGACGGGTCTTCTGACCCGTCGAGGCATGTGAGGACCTTTGAAAATATGGTTGTGTTACATGGATATTCTGATTCTGTTTGTTTAAGGGCATTTCTATCGACCTTGCGCGGAGGAGCCCTTGACTGGTTTCACCAGCTGCCCTCTGGGTCGATTGCGGATTTTGAGGATTTTGCCAGCAAGCTTAGCAATCAATATTCGAGCGCAGTGCATGAGAAAACGTATTTGACGTTGATGGCAATGAAGAAGGGGGAGAAGGAGTCATTGAGGAAGTATGTCGCTCGATATAACCAGACGTGTTTGGAGGTGCATTCGGCATCAGATGAGGTGAAGGCGGGAGGATTGATAAGAAGTCTTCGAGTGGGGCCTTGCCGAACTTCCCTGGCAAAGACCCCTGCTCGATCGTATGAGGAGGTCTTGAAGCGTTGCAGGAAGTATATTAATTTGGAGAAAATGGAGGTAGAGTTCGCAAAATTGGAAGGGCCAGCTCGACCAGAGCCAAAGAAGGAGCAAAGCCCACCAAGAGGGAGATCGCCGAGGAGGAGTTCGCCCAAGAGAAGTGGGTCGAAAAAGACGTCACCAAGGAGGGCAGGTCGGGATTCGAAGCGAGAGAAGAGGGACGATAGGTGGTTGCGGAGGCCATTGTTGTTCGAAAGACAGAGGTACCATAAGTTTACACCCTTGAGGAAAGATTTGACAGAGGTGCTCGAGGCTATGGAGCAGAAAATGTCGATCGAGGATGTAACGTGGCCGAAGACAAGGTTCACAGGCCCGACTCGACTCATATTGAATATATATTGTCGATTTCACCGAGATTACGACCATACCACGGAGAACTGCAGGCATTTGAAGGATGAGATTGAAAGGTTGATTCGAGCAGGACATTTGAAAGAGTTTGTGTATCATGATAGGGCGAGAGGGAAAGGAAGGAGAAGGTGTCGAGATGATTCGGAGGAAAGGAGTGATAGGGATGAAGAAGGAGACGGCGGAGAGAGTCGAGTTGGTCGAGGAAAAAAGCCGAGAAGAGATGGAGATAAAGGGGGCCATGGAGGAGAGGCCCCGATGAAGAGAGGAATGATTTACATGATTTCCGGAGGACCAACGGATGGTGACTCGAATAGGGTCAGGAAGGAGCATGCTCGAGCTGCGAAGAGGAAAAGAGAGGAGGTTGGGATTACGGCTCGTATACCAGTGATAAGTTTCGAGGTGGAGGACGCCGAGGGAGTGGTCTTACCGCACAACGATGCTTTGGTGATAACCACAGAGGTTTCGGGCTTTGACGTGAAGATGGTGTTTATTGATACCGAGAGTTCGGTAGACGTGATGTTCTACGACTGTTTTGTGCAAATTAACAAGGATTTGAATATGGAGCCGAATCCGGTGACCACGACACTTTATGGCTTCAATGGAGGAGAGGTGGTGCCGATGGGCGAGATAAGTTTGCCAGTGGCGTTGGGAGCGGGAGAGCTGAAGAAGGTGCGCATGGTGAGGTTTGTGGTCGTAGGAGCTGAATCATCTTATAATATTATTATGGTACGGACGAGCTTGAATGCGTTCCAGGCGGTCGTATCCACGTACCACATGACGATCAAGTATCCTGTGGACGAAAACGTAGGGGAGATTGCTGGGGATCAACTCACTTCAAGGAGTTGCTATCAAAAAACGGTGAGCAATAACAAACAACTGGCAAAGAGGCAGGCCAAGTCGAAGGAAGAGGAGGTTAATCGACAGGTGGGTCGAGGTCGAAAGAGGATAAACAGAGAATGGAGAAGGGTAAGGAGAAGATGGATATCCAGCCAGGGGGAGAAGTGGAGGAGATTCAGATGATCGAGGGGTGTGAGGAGAGGAAGTTCAGAATCGGGAAGGACCTGGAGGAGCCTATTCGGTCGAGGCTGATCGATCTGGTTATGGAGTTCGCTGACATTTTCGCCTATACAGCAGAAGAGTTGATGGGGATAAGTGCGGAGGTGATCGAGCATCAGCTGAACATCGACCTCAGTGTGAGGCCAGTGAAGCAGAAAAGAAGGCACCATGGGGCAGAGATGGACAAAATCATTGAGAAGGAGGTTGAGAAGCTATTAGGAGCAGGGCACATCAAGGAGATCCAGTTCCCCGAATGGTTGTCGAATACAGTGATGGTGTCGAAGGCAGAGGGAAAATGGAGGATGTGCATTGATTTCCGTGATTTGAACAAAGCATGCCCAAAGGATTTATACCCACTACCCAGAATCGACCAGCTGGTCGACTCAACGGCGGGGTGCGAACTGCTAAGCCTGATGGATGTCTCCCAGGGATATCACCAAATTCCCTTGGCAAGAGAGGACAGGAAGCGGGTAAGTTTTGTAACGAGTCGAGGAACCCATTGTTACGTGGTCATGCCCTTCGGCCTAAAGAATACGGGCGCCACGTACCCCAGGTTGGTCGATAAAATCTTTAAAGAGCAACTGGGGAGGAACATGGAGGTGTATGTGGATGATATGTTGGTGAAAAGCAAAGAGGAGTTGGATCATGTGCGAGACTTGAAAGAGACGTTCTCAACATTGCGAAGGTATGGGATGAAATTGAATTCAGCTAAGTGCTCTTTCGGGGTGAGGTCGGGAAAATTCTTGGGTTACTTGGTGACCAAGAGAGGTATTGAAGTGAATCCTAAGAAGGTTCGAGCCGTAATAGAGATGAAGCCACCGACGAATGTTAAGGAAGTGCAAATCTTAGCTGGTCGAATTGTGGGGTTGAGTCGTTTAATATCGAAGGTGGCGGAGAAAAGTGGCTCATTATTCAAAACACTAAAGAAGAGCTCAAAATTTCAATGGACGGAGGAGGCGCAGGGGGCATTTGAGGAGTTGCGAGGGGTGTTGGCCAATCTTCTCTTATTGGCTAAACCCGTACAGAGCGAGGAGTTGGTGCTATACATTTCTATTGGAGAGAGGGCCGTGAGTCCGGTGTTATTGCGGGAGGAAGGGGTAGCGCAATTTTCTATCTATTATGTGAGTAGGGTGATGCAGGGAGCAGAGATGAGGTATTCGGAGATCGAGAAGTGTGCTTTGGCTGTGGTAGTAACTGCTCGAAAGTTGAGACCTTATTTCTTGAATCATAAGGTGAAGGTGCGAACGAACATGCCGCTGGGAGAAACACTTGGCCGACCATCGGTCTCTAGTCGATTGGTGAGTGGGCGGTCGAGTTGAGTGAGTATTCTTTGTTATATGAGCCGAGGAGGGCCATAATGGCGCAGGTGTTGGCCGATTTTATCCAGTAAGGCACGAAAGTTGAGGAGGAGTCAGGAGGAATATGGCAGTTGTTTGTGGACGGATCTGTGGCACGAAGCGGGGCAGGATTAGGAATTGTCCTTGTCTCTCCTAAGGGCGATGACTTGGAATTTGCGGCTAAAGTGGGGTTCAAGATATCCAACAACAAGGCCGAGTATGAGGCAGTGATCAAAGGTTTGAGTTTAGCCAAGGCGGAAGGAGTTCGAAAATTACAAGTGCATTCTGATTCTCAACTGGTGGTCGGGCAGTTTCAGGAGGGGTTTGAAGTTAAGGAGGACCGGATGCAAAAGTATGTGGATGAGATGAGGAAGTTGAAAGAGGAGTTTGATTCATTCGAGCTAATACAAATCCCTCGGGGAGAAAATGGTCGAGCGGACCTGTTATCGAAAATTGCTCAAAGCTTGGTGGATTGTAAGAGCAGAAGTGTCACCTTATTGCATCTCGAAAAGAGTGTGGTCGAAGCGGAAGTGGCGGAGAATGAGGAAGTGGAGGATTGGAGGGCCCCGATCCTGGAGGAGCTGAAAGGGGGAACGATAAAGGCGATGAGGAGATTTTTTGAACATGGTGGCATTCTTTACAAACGGTCGTATGCGGGACTGCATCTGCGTTGTGTTACTAATGATGAAGGTCGATATGTGCTGAGAGAGATGCACGAAGGATGCTGCAGTGATCACAGTAAGTCAGGGGCCTTGGTCGCAAAGATTTTAAGGGCAGGATATTTCTGGCCCACGATGAGGGAGGATGCGAAGGTGATGGTGAAGAAATGCTTACAATGCCAAAAGCATGGTCCCCTTATTCACCAACCGGCAGAAGCGATGACGACGATGAGTGCCCCTATACCATTCGCCCAATGGGGTATCGACCTGGTGGGGCCGATGCCTCAGGGAACGGGGCAGAAGAAGTTCTTGATAGTGGCGGTTGATTATTTCACAAAGTGGGTAGAGGCCGAGCCCTTGGCGAAGATCACGGAGAAGAAAGTAATTAAATTTCTATACAACAACATTTGCTTCCGATTTGGCGTGCCCAAAGTGTTGATTTACGACAATGGTACTCAGTTCAATGGCAAACGGATTTGAGCATGGTGTGAAGACATGAAAATCGAGCAACACTTTGCCTTCGTTGCTCATCCACAAGCCAATGGCCAGGTCGAGGTAACCAACCGAATTATACTGAATGGGCTGAAAACAAAGCTGGAAAAGACCTCGGGCGCGTGGGTCGATGAGTTCAGCTCGGTACTTTCGGAGTATCGCACAACCCCGAGGTCGACAACAAGAGAAACCCCTTTCAGTTTAGCTTATGGAATGGAAGCATTGCTGCCGGTCGAGGTCGAGCTGTCATCACAGAGGTCGAGCACATATAATACTGAGCAGAAAGAGGATCTAATGATGGCAGCGCTGGATACTAATGAGGAGCTGCGTGGAAGAGTAGCAATCAGAGTGGAGGCGTACAAACAGAGGATGCGAGCCGCACATGACAAAAAGGTGAAAATCCGTAGACTCCAATTAGGCGACCTGGTTTGGAAACGCGTCGATGTGCTCAAATATGTGGGAAAGCTCGAGCCGAACTGGGAAGGGCCATACCTGGTCGAGCGAGTACACGCAGGAGGAGCGTACTCGCTGAAGGATGCTGAAGGCCGATCACTTGCCAGGTCATGGAACATAGCTAATTTGAAAAAATATTATGTGTGAAAATTTTTTGTTTTTTTAAGAAAGTCAGAAAATTCGAAAAAAGATGTAAATTGCAAAGTTTGCTCAACAGTCAATGAAGTTCAGTGATTCTTATGATTTTACTCGCTTTATTGCACATTTTCTTATGCTTGGAATGTTGGTATAATTTGGATGACAGGATGTATGTGGTGTGGTTTGACTTGGAAGTCACTTGTTTAGAACATCCCTTAGGGTGGGCAGGTTGGTCGAAGACCTCCTGTTTAGAACATTCCTCGCGGGTGGGAAGGTGTGAAGACCAAAATCCACCATGACTAAGGCCCTCGGGCTGGGTGGTCACTTGTTTAGAACATCCCTTGGGGTGGGCAGGTTGGTCAAAGACCTCCTGTTTAGAACATTC